GTTATTTCAGTTATGTTGTACTCCCCCTTACTACAAAAATAGAGGCAAACAACAAACAACTGTATTACTAAATTATATACTAACACCCGTTGAAGTTGTGTGCATGTATTGTTTATTTATACCTAATAGTTATCAGGTAACATGCATAACATCGAACTTATTATACTTGTTTTTGTTATGTCCTTCACACATGATGTATTACCTATTGGAACTTTTATAATAGGTATGTAATACCGACGAGACGCCACCAGTTGTTCATTGTGTTTACTGTTTCATTAATTGGATACTGTAATACTCGGTTACCTTTTAAATACAATATGTTTTTCTTACATTTAATTAGTTAGGAAAATATACATATTTATAGGTATTAGAGCGATATGTTTCATTTATAATAATCATTTGTTAGTTACATAGCATAACTAATTTCTGCACGTGACCGTTATCTACGTATCGTGCCATCAATGTACTTGAATAGTTCCAAAATTTACGATTAATGTAACATCTAACGTACCTATTATATTATCATAAAATATGCTTATCGAACATGTTTTTACAGAGCCATACAAAACTATGAGTTGAGGTATTCAAATGACGGCGGTTTCGAGATCACCGCGTTCCTGGGGGCCATTGGAGACTTTATTGGGATCTTTAGTCTGTCGCTGCTGGTTGGAGCTCTCATGGGATGCTTGACGGCATTGATATCCTTTTCAAAAGTGAAAATAACTCGTTCATACAGTCATAATGCGGATCTGACACAATACATGTGTTAGTTACATATGAAGTTATAATTGCAGTCGTCAATCATATTCGTTACACTATTTAGAACTCGTAAAGATTAGTCAGATTTTCATGATCACTAGTTGTTAAATTCAAACCCAGTTCATATAATATAGCAAAAGAATGCCCATACATTTTGTAAGTTCACGCGGGAACAAAGTATAGGAAATTTCCCGGGACCGATACAAATATAAATATAATAAACTCTTAGGCTTTAAATAGAAATGATTCGAGAATCTCCTCTCGCAGATTTTTTTCTAATAATAGACAGTTGACGCTACAATAACCATTGACTTTCACGCTTGGATGGGGAAAAAACAATTGCAAATCGTTTGATGCGACCCCGAAATCAAAAGCGTGACATGAACACGTGCTACAAGCCCCATTGCTAAGATTATCTTAGATATCTCAAGTATTTATCAACCCACAAATCCTGTTTATATTTTCGCACTATTTTAGCTAACAGTTAATTACACCAGGGGGCGTTGTCGACGTAAATAGCATAACATTCTCTGTATTAAAACCCGCACCAAATATTATTATCGTTAATCTTTCTGATTCGACAATACACGTGTTGGGTTTTTTGATAATTAACTAAGTTTTAATCGCGGCATCGTCTGCGTGAATTTACATGAAAGATAGTCTATATCTTTTTCCATCTAATCTATGCAACAAGAAGATCGGTTGAGTAGGTAAAATGTTAATATAGTAACAAACAAACTTGTTACTTAGATACTTAGATAGAATTTAGTGTTAAGTCAAAACGCGGGTTACTCGCGTGAATATACTGAGCAAAGCTCTACTAGTTTCAAACTACAGAGGGGTTTTTCCTCATGAGTGAGCTGCGCGACGTCGCCGCGACCGCGCGTGAGTAACCCGCGTTTTTACTTAATTTAGTATGTCTCACGATAGTTATTATAAAAACAGAATTTAGTGTATTTTTTTTCTAATATTGTCTAAAATAGTACAAACATATCGATGTCAAAGCAATGAGAATGATTCCTTAACTAATACACACATGACCAAGTTCACCCACGTGCGGGAATGGCCACTACTGGAGTCGGCGCTTTTCGTGCTCATGTCCTACGCAGCGTTCCTTATTGCTGAAGTCTGCGAGTTGACAGGTAATGTGCAAACTATAGTAATACTTAATAACCTTGAAGTAAGGCATAATTTTAATTGAAAGTGCTTTATCAGTATGTTTTTATTGGTTTTTACTGTATGCTTATTAATTGATATTTAATATTATTTTTCCTGTTGTTTAATTAGACAATTGGTGCTTCCGATTTTGATTACAAATCTAATCAATATCAATTATTATTTACAAGCACGTATACTCAATCTTGTGATAAAAAAAAATATGACAATGACTTATTATTGTAACATATTAATCATTATCCATTGATCCTCTATATTTATTCACATGATTTTTTTTTTCGTGTGCATATTGAGTGACCTAGGAATCCTAGTGATCCTAGGAATTTCAGTCCCGCTCTCTTTTCTTGGTGACACCATGACGATGACATGTAATGTTTACCTGTATGTACCGTACTCTTCCACCACCAGTACCTTCTTGTAACAGTGATGTCAATTACAACCGACTGCACGGTTGGTGCGATGGCTGAGCAACTAGCTGCCGCGCAACGTGTCGCGGGTTCGATTCCCGCACAGAGCAACACTTTGTGTGATCACCAGATTGTTGCTCCGGGTCTGGGTGACATGTGTATGTGAACTTGTATGTTTGTAAACGCACCCGCGACGCAAAAGAAAATCTCACTGTGGGGGCAAGGTTTTTTTTTAAATAAAAACATTTTTACTGTAATTAAGGTAAAGCTTTTACCAAATACCGGGAAAAAGTACACCATCCATCCTGTCACTCCCAAAAATAATTTAAACACTTTATAAGTAATAGTTATTTGTTTATATTTGTTTACATTAAATACTACTGTACTATACGTATTATCACGTAGTTGGCCAATTTACATGCCATTAGATAACGGTAAAAGAATTAGTTAGTCGTGACATGCCGGCTTAATCGCCTCGTTAGACAGTTGAAGTCATAGTACTCTACAATTTAGGTACAGGCACCCTACTCCAATCTGCTAAATACATTTTCAACTTTATTCCCTTGTTTTATAGACGAAATTCTATTGTACATATTTAACAGAAAGTCGACGTACTGACGTCTGTTCTAGAAAAACCTAGTCCTTTTTGTTGATAACGATGGTATCGACACTGACTTCTTTATCTTATGTTCATAATGGTGAAGTTAGGCTAGGTTGTAGGTACGTAACTATGAACTATATAATAAGGCCAGTAGGTAGTAATTTTTATTTCTAATAAGATCTCTAACAAATGTGTAGTTGTAGTCCCTTAGTGCCCTCGTACTATACCCAGAGGAAGATAAATTTATTTTACTCTGCCACACGACATTACCATTAGTTTCTACCAACCTTGGAAAAAAGACGTGAATTTAACATAATTTTGTAAGTAATAAAACCTTGTTCTCTTTACAGGTGTTGTGGCAGTACTATTCTGCGGTATTTGCCAAGCTCACTACACGTACAACAATCTGTCTTCGGATTCCCGCAACCGTACGAAGCAACTGTTCGAGCTGCTCAACTTCTTGGCTGAGAACTTCATCTTTACCTACATCGGCGTGTCCATGTTCACCTTCCCGAAACATCACTTCGATCCGTGGTTCATCATCGCTGGATTTGTATCCTTTTTAATTAAGTATAAAGCTGTAGTCTCATGTGAAGTGGTTCTTGGAAAGGTTTAAGGGCAGAAATTATTCTATACTAATTATAAAGCTGAAGAGGGCCTTTGAACGCGAATATTCCGGAACTGGTACTAGTAGTCCGATAATTATGGAGGCAAATATGGGGGTTACTAGAATGTTTTCCAGGAGTTTTGAAAATCAGCAATTTTGTAGATTTTGACATGCTTTTTCGATTTCCATTTTGCACCTTTGTGCGTAGGCCGCTCGCGCCAACATCTTGGAAAAACAATTTTTTTTTTACAGTATCTCTTTTCCTGTTCATTTTTACGTTCCTGTAAAACCGTTAATTACATACGTAGGATACGTAGGGTATGTCGTACAAATAATTTACGTAAATATGCGTACAATGGGCGGTCTTATCACATTTTTCTATATCTTCTCAACTAAGTGGTACTTTAGCAGTTAGATAAGTAAGGAGATAATTATGAGGTATTGAGTATTCGTCATTGTTTCTTGATTTCTTCAATATCAATGTCATAAAAAGATAATGATGAGTAGATAAGTACTTATTGACTATCGAACACAATATTGATATTGCTTTCATATTGATATATTATTTTAATGACATAATAAAACTTTTATTGCAGTTTAAATCTGGGTCAGGAATATCAGGATATCGGGTATAGGTACAGAGTGATTTAATCGATTTTCAACCTTATTATATTTATATACATAGATTACTATTTTATAAGCTACATTTAAATACCTATATCGTTATACCAAATGATAATTATGAGCTGCTGAGGGAAAGTACGCTAACAGGTTTATTTTCCTTTTGCCAAAGAGGTCGTTATATGAAATGAGTACTAAATATAGCCAGGGGGTTTTCCAAGATATTACGACCGATCTAACGCTATATCATTAAGTCTCCGTAATTATTTATACATTAAACTTCTCGTTTGAGATTGTAGTAACTGTACTTTTATGAGTACCATCATGAATGTGGGCATAAGTAGGAGGAAGATCTATTCTGTAGTTTTGTAACATTGTTACAGACTCTTTAAATCAACCATTACAGAATTCAGCCACCAGTATTATGACTTCATGCACATGAACTCGTAAATCTGTCACTTACTCAAACTAGCTGTCAATTTAATATAAACCACATCATCTATAATTCTAGGTCTATTTTAAAGTGGTGTCATTAAACTAATCGCTACCAGTTTACGATTGACTGATAGGAGTTACATATGACCTTAGTTCTTAAAGCCAAGGATATACTAGGGAACAAATGTCCAGCACACATGTCACCAGCGACTTTGGGTGAAGAAGTGCGACGTTGTCGGACTTTGGTCGACATTTCTGGCAGCATTAACATCGCAGTGGACATAAGCCGCGCGTTATCGCCATTATGTCAGACGAAATTGGCAGGTTTTGTTTGACATGTCGCCGATACATGTCGTGGCACATTTGTTCCTTAGTGTATCCTCGGCTTAACTCGTTGAGTACCGTCATTATAGACACAATTAAAGAACAAAAGGTTGCGGTCACCGGTGACCACGCGGTGTTTGTCAGTTTAAATTATACTTTTGCGAATATTTGAAGAGGAAACGTATGCCTGTTTGGATATAAAATATAACACGACCTTCGAAACTTTACGAAAAGAGCGTACTTTCCTAAAATGCCGGCAATGCACAGTGCACTTCCGAGTTCATGGACTACTAACTTGATCTCTTATTCCTTATCCATATGCGTTGTGTCCTCCTATTTCAAAAAATAAAATTTTGAACATAGGTTTTTTGAAATTATGATAATGTTCCTTAGCACAAAACAGGTAACTTCAGTTCTGGGTCGCGCAGTCAACATCTATCCACTGTCGTTCCTGCTCAATCTTGGACGGAAACCACCGATACCGATGAATTTCCAGCACATGCTGTTCTTCTCAGGTGAGCTATTATTTTACATAACATAACATCACGCATTTTACCCCCAAGGGGTAGGCAGAGGTGCACATTATGCCACTGTACAAGTGCCCAATTTTCACTATTTATCTTATGAGTCCCATGTAATAAGCGGTAAGCCTATTACCTTATACCGGGCACGATTCCAGACTCCGTGCTACTACTGAGATTTTTTTTTTAATCCCTATAAATTATGCCCGACCCGGAATCGAAACCGAGACCCCATGCCCGGCAGTCCCACTTGCGACCACTCGGCCAACGAGGCAGCTATTATTTTATTTTGTCGTCTAAGAATTCTGGCTATATGGTCGTTATTGAAATATGAACTATCTAAGTGTGGGAAAGCCGTGCTTATCGCGACCATAGTGATACCACGGCCTCATAGAAAACCGACGTCAAACAACACTTGCGTTTCGTCGTTTGAGTGAGGTTACCGGAGGCCCAAATATCCCCCCCCCCCTTGCCCGATTTCCTGAATCCCAAAGAATCCTCAAATTCCTAATTCCCAGGGGGTCGGTAACGCACTTGTGACGCCGATTGCTCACCACCAGGTGATCTGCTCGTTTGCCGGCTTATCCCATCCCATAGAGTTGGGGCAAAGATTTCTGATATTATTATATTCAGCATGTAATTTAATCACGTCATTTAGGTTATAACAACTTAGCACAGTATTTTTTAAACTCTTTTTCTAACCTACCACTTTAATTACAGGTTTACGAGGAGCGATGTCTTTCGCATTAGCCATACGTAACACAGTATCGGAAGCGCGACAAGCGATGTTGACGACTACTTCGTTGATCGTCATAGCAACCGTCGTACTACAGGGCGGCGCAGCTACTCATGCACTTGCATATCTACGTATACCTACTGGGTATGTATAAAAAACTATACGTATTTTCCTACTTCATGCTGTAAATGCGAAACTGCTGAGCCGCTTATGATGAATTTTGGGGTAAAAGATAGATAAAGATTTTAAATGCAAGGCTTTTGCGCGAACGAAACTGCCAGTTTATATCATATTCTTATATATCATAAGTTTGTTTCTTTGTAATTTTAAATACTAAAAATTGATTGGAGATGTTGTTTACCTTACGTATTAATTTGCAGAGAATCTGGCAACGACGAAAACGACGCTCTACCCTACCGAGATGTGCGAAGCGTAAGTTTTTACATTAATCTGTAAATAATGTGAATTAACTTTGGGTTGCTTTAAGAATCTTAAATTGAAACACTTTGTAAAGTAGGTAGTGCTGAAGTACACGTTTTACTACTAGAAGTAGACAAAATCATTCACTTACAAATTGGCAGTTATTTAGTTAGCATTTCGTTCATATACATTCATTTGTATCTGTTTATTGAAACGTCCTTACATAATGTTTTTCTCATTCTTTAAAACATTTATGCGACGTTATGCTACAGGCAAATTGTATCTGTAATTATTCACGTTTCTAACCGAAATTACTACCTACGAGAACTGCTTATTAACAAGCAGTATCGTGGTGTAAAACTTGTTTCCTATTTGCTTTTCTTTATACTTCATTTATTTCCAACCGCTGCTTTATGTGTGCCTTATTTTCCTGTGTGGTAACAACCTCTTTTTCCCTAATCCATTATGCAAACAAGGTAAATGATTCCATAATTTAAGTAGCAGTTATTGTAATTAAAAAAGGTATTCTGAATAACAACAGCAAAATTGTCCCGATCAGGCATGAATGGAAGTTTATACAAAATATTACAAGACCATGCTTTGTCTGGATTTGGGTTGCATTTGTACTCACAAAAACTCAACTGGTGGCTGAAAAAATTGTTTTATAATACATTGTAAATTATGCACATTATGCACTTAGAATGGGTAATATTTTGTATGAAAATGATTTAATAAAAGTCATGAGAGCACTGTAAGGCGCGCGCACTCGTATCATTGGCTCGTATTCGTACATAAGGCACGTTAGAAGCGTGCGGTACGGGCAAGCATGTGATTAATGAGACATTATTGTGGCAGCTGTACCAGGCCACGGACTCTGCTGGACCGGTACGTATTGTAGCGCTATGTTCGCACTTTCATGGAGCTTTGGATGTTCATACATCACGCTTACCATTTTACATACGTTTCTCAATCGTTTAATTTTACTGTGTGCTCCCGGGACTATGGTGTCGTACTAAAGTATCGTTACTAATCGATGGTAAATTAGTGTTTTTTGAAATTTTTAATAGTTAACCTACGGTGATCTTCAGGCTGAGAAACGGTGAATTAAAACCTTCTTCAAATATACAATTATACATAGACCACTTTACAGAACCAGCTAAAACTACATAAAACCTCGACCTATTTATAGCGAAAGTATTTGAAGAAGGTTTCCATGGATGTCTCACATTCAGATTCATTCATACCATTAGATAAGAATTACTTTAATACCTACATATCAGTGTTATTTCTAGGTGTACCAAATTACATGTGACAAAGTTGTAGATAACTTTGAAACTGCGAAGCTTTATCACCTTAAAATAAAATCAATACTAATTCTACACCACACGATTCGTATTTTCAGAGAGTATCTACAATAGCTCTTTTGTCCGTACCTGTAAGGGTCATTTTTGTTTAGCATTACATTAACACGTATTTATACTGTTTTCTTGTTCAGCCCGCTGACTTAGGTTTCGGCCTACGTAACATGGACTCAACGCAACCAGCCAGTTGCGACAGGGCAGCAGTAAGACTAATAGATACATGCACGCATTACAGATACTGCACGAGTCTTACTAAAACAATACACTATACTAACAAAGAATATTATTATCTGTAGCACGTCACATCAAACATTCATGAGAATTAACAGCACATATGATACTTATTATATTTACTATATAAAAGGTACAAGGGGCAGGGGCAATTCGATTGTCAAATACAAAATAAATTTTCTATTAACTTTTATGGAGAGTATTAAATACTTTTTGGTCGCACGTTGACAATTATTATGATTCAAGTATAAATGTAGTGTTGTGTCGTGCATGAATTTACTTTTACTTTATCGCTTTGTTTGGTTTCTTTTAATATCTAGAGAGGCCGCATGGTAGTTAAGTGGGCTAATGGCGCGAAGGAAGTGATTATGCCTTGGGAACTAAACGGTATCGAAGTATGTTAATATTTTACTATATTTTTATATAAGTACACTTATTTACCACTCACATGCATGAAATACATAGCATTGTGCATATAACCACACGTCCATGCATGTATTTGGTGAATGTTCTGTATTAAGTATTAATTTAATAACCCTTTGAGTGTTTCTTGGATAAATGTGTTGAACAATTTTTATACTCTAACTTTTCTTGTTTATAACAGTTTTGGGTCTAACTTTTGTACTAACTAATTTAAATCTTAGTTTGTTTGGAGAATAATTATTAATATCAACATTTAAAGACTCATTTATCCAAGTGTCACTGTGTATTAAAGTACCAATATCTGAATATTTTCTTTTCTACGATGATAATAATACAGGTGGTATCAAAAATCTTTTTCTATTAAAACCACTTATATCCTTTTTAACAATCTGTAACATTCACTATTGATGCCAACTGTAGTTGTTTGTAGTTCTGTATTATACAAAGACACTATTTCAGTATACATACATTGAGTTTAATAATTGAATTTAATTTGAGTGAATTTACTAGGTAAAGTAAACAGTATAATTCTAAAATGTTGAAGCTGAATATTGTTTGAATTTAGCTAAATTCGATACAAATAGTATTATGTGTATTTATTTGTCTTATGTTTTTATTGTAATACTGCATAACATGTTTCCACCCTTGCTACCAGGATACACCTCGAGACCGCGGTGAAGGTTCCACGGGACAGAAAGCCCGTCTCGCTAGATTGTGGGGCGCAGTTGACTCCAAACTACTGAAGCCACTGCTTACTCACGCTCGACCGCCGCTCACCGAGACTCTACCAGCATTCATGAGACCTCTGGCTAGAGTGCTCACTACCACTCATCAATACACGCAAGGGGTCAGTGTTTAATTGTTACGTTATGGGATGAGTAAACGAGCAGACGGATCATCTGATGGTAAGCAATAGGCGGCGCCCATGGCCACCCGGACATCAGAGGCGTTACAAGTGCGTTACCGAATTCGGGATTACCGGGATTACCGGATTTGAGGATTGTTGGTTTTGCAGGGTGAATGGCTCACTCCCTCATTGATCGAATACTTATTATTAAACAAGATCTCAAGGTCGATCTTTCTTTTCGGAAAAAGTATATTTGGGGTTATGTAACCCTCACATTCCCAATTATGTTTTGATACACAACTTGACCTGGCGAATTCTAATCCTTTCGATCAACAAAGCAATTAAATTCACACCTTTGTTGTCTTTTTTATACTTTATTTATGCTGCATCGTGGCTGGTGCTGAATAAATGTTTTTTCTTTCTTTTTTTAAATATTTTTTCCTACAATAAGCTTTTACTCTCACAGGATAACTCGCTGCGTAGAACCGACTCAGACTCAGACCTATGCATCGACGAACAACACCCCATCCCTACAAGTATTGACCCCCAGGTAAACTTCCCGCTGTGACGTCATCACCCCCATGACGTCAGCTGTGACTTTTGACAAGCTTACAGTATAACATAGGCATGTCTTTATTTGCGATATCGTCAAGTGATACCTTCTTTAAATTGATGCGTTTTAATAAAGTGATTATTCCTTTGATATTGTTGGATTTGTACATACTGTGGATAACATAATATAATTTTATTCTGTTATATTTTTGAGTTCTGTATTCATAATTCTTATTATATTTATTATATATGTATACCGTATACATATTTGTTTATATTTCATGTATTTTCTTTTTTGGTTGCAGCTATCGATTAACGTTCGGAATGGATATGGGCATGTTTGAGCTTTGTAGCGTTAGTGATCCACGGCTGTGATATATAATTTGCTCTAATAGCATATAGTAAAATTTATAATTAATAGGATATTCCTTTTTAATTATTGCACGCAGCAAATATGGCCAGGACTAGTGGACACGAGGATTTCTGTGGAAGGTATTACTGGTAGTAACATCTGAATTTGTATTGAATACTATTGTAAAATTGAGTGCCACAAATTTTATATTATTATAATGAAGTTTCTGCGTAAATTGAGATTTTAACTGTTTATAAATTACACTTTCGACACGTGTAGTCATGTTACCTACATATATGTTCAACGGATTCTTTGCCTTATCTGAGGCCTTAGTACGAGTTGGTTTTTCGTTAAAAGTAATCGAGACCGCGTTCGATCCTCTGATTGGTTGGATCATTGGAGTCGGCCAATCATAGTGCCGAACGGGTATAAACGAAGCGAAGACTATAAACAGTTAAAATGTTAGTAAGTTAGTGTTGTTATGGCCAGTGTGTGCTTAAATCGTAATGTTTACACGAAATCACTATCTGGATTTATAATGAATTTGTATTTTAATGTGATAATGATGAGAGGTGAGCATAAGATCTGATCATACACTAATTAAGAATTCATGGCTGCAATGCAATTAATTATAAAGTTGTAGATTCGGGAGTCGTGTACTAAGCACTCCCGATTTAGATAATGCAGTTAATTTTAATTGTAGTTATATTATTTCTTTCTTGTTAGACAAAAAAATCTCGTTTCGAACTTTTCGTCCGCGTGGTATTAGCACGTTCCTTAAATGTAGCAATAGCTTTATTTTGTATCACCAAAATTATGTACACTCAACTTGAAAAAGTATAACACGTTAGCTGTGTTAGCGTGAGCGCAATAGTTAGTTGCCTTTTTTTACGAACTTCTATTAAAACCTTTTCATGTTAAACGATCTAGTCTACTATTATGTACCTACTTACTGATTATAATAAAACGAATATCGTGCTTGTTTTAGGACATTTGATTTCGATCTTTATGTTGACCATCAAATGGAAGATTTATTTTAAGTTGCTGGGAAAGGGTAGTTAGTGTGTTCCAATCGATTTGTTATTTTACTTATGCGTCCATGATTGTTATTATGAAATTATTACTCATAGAATGGTTTTTAAAACCTCATCCTTATTTTGTAATGTTAGATTTATTATGAATTAAAGAGATTCTCAGTTTTCAGCTTTCAAAAGAATGTTTGCATCGAGTTTGTTTCAAAAACTATTTTACCCTTGTATCTTCAAATATTGCAAATGCTACTTTTAGTAGTTTGTATTCATAGATAGTATTTTCGCTACGCATTAATACCTCAATATTGCAATAGTTTTAGTAACAAAAAACGTATGGACCTTTTGTATGTAACTGTACATTCAACTCTGCATTTCATCTTTACAAAAAATATATTTTTTCTATAACATCTTTCATACCGCTTTTAATGTCTCATATCATAATATTATGTATTACATAGACATAGTATTTTACTGATTAATAATTTGATCTCAAATTGTCAGAATTAAAATGGCTAGAAAATAGTATTTTTCAAAATTTTATACAAGTGTCCTCATCAGTTGTTTTTTGTGTAAAATTAATCTGCTTGGTTTTAAAAACTTGGCAAATTGAATTTCTTTATGTGTATTAAAACTCTGAACTTTACTAATTGACTTTTATTTCAATTTGATCTAATCAATAACATAACATCATTGCGTCACTTAATGCCACTGTGTAATGATTTAATCTATGTACCTATTAACTGCTGAATTTTTAATCAACATTTTTAAGGAAGTAGGACTAATAAATAAAATATCATTATAGGCCTTAATGTCATAATTTTATTGATTATTTTAAACTTATCTAAACGATAAAATCATTTTCATTTTATAACACATTTATCAATGACTAGGACCAATTTGTTTTCTTAGAGTCTGTCGTATATGGTCTGTGACCTGAAACTGTGGTCCATGACCAGGTACGATCCAGTCTGCCAAATTGGCTACCTTTGACCTGTTACGCATTTGACGTACTGGATCCTCACTGCCTGCTTCCATCCATAAATTCGGATTTTGTATATCATCAAATTTTTCAAATAGATCACCTAAAACAAACATACAGACAATATTTATAATGGTACAATGTATAGAACATAATTACATAGAGAGGTCCAGTATTCGCATTGTACTTACCGACTATAGCTATTGTTGCACCACCAACAGCTTTGACAAGCACAGTGACATCGGAGAGTGTATGACCTGGAGTAGGTATTACTCTCACATTGTCATCGATTCTGAGCTCCTCTCCTAAAACAGGTAAGGTGAACAGTTTTTATGTATCCCAGATCAAGGAAAGATGTCACAATACAATTTATTATCATTCAGTGGCTGTGAAGAAATCCATAAAAAGGTTCCAATACACTGCTTACCTTTATCAAAAGGATGCATGTGGTATTCATCATTGAAAGATACACTGAAGCCAACTATATGTTTTGCCAACAAGAAGAGATTGTTGTTGCCAATGTGATCTGAATGTCCATGAGTAGAAATTACATAATTAATGTTTTCTGGGCTTACATTATTCTTTGCTAATGCTGCAACAAAAATGAAAGATGAAAAATCTTACAAAAACAAAATATATAATAGATACCTAAATATATATATATAAATAGGTATATATATACATAGATATGGGTGTGTTTCTTATTTACCAGCTAAAATTTTTTGGCCATCCCAAGAAGTCATAGTGTCTATTATAATATTGTTAGCTCCTTTTATTAATGTACAACTACAATTAGCTGACATTTGGTCTTTCCCGGTCATTATCGAATATCCTTCGTACAAAACTATAACTTCACTCATTTTTAGCAAAGTGGTTTCGATATTTTTTTAAAATAATAGTATAGTTTTAATATAAATCTCATACAAGAAATGTAAATAGACGATTTTTACTAATACAATTTGTATAAATAAAGGTCAACAGAACTAGAAAATAGGAATAAAACAGTAAACAAATTAAGCTCTGTTTACATTACACTCCTTTCGGATTGATTCACAAAACTGAGTATTTTACTATCAGTGTCAATGTCAAATTATATACTCCGAATTTCATCTTTTACATTTACATAAAAATATTTGGTACTAATATTTCTCGCAAATAATCCAAAACTTGTGACATAACGAATATAAAAATTCGTTTTTTAGATTACAATCGATCGATTAAAACATCCATCCGTAAAAAATAGTGAACGCAGCCTTAATGTCAACGTTGACATTTTCTTCATTTCGTTCAGAATTTCAATTTTAAAGTCTTAATTTTTCAATTTTTATTTATTGAAAGTCTAATATTTTTTCAATTTTTAGGCAGGACAATCGCAGAAACTTAACAAAAATAATCATATTATGTTGAAATTAACAGAAACATACTGATAAAATATCAAAAATGTACAAAAATAGTAAAATAATTTTGATGAATATCCAATTTCATTCCAATTGGACAAAACAAAATTTCTAAACTTCAGTCTCATCTATCCCTGTCTCCCTCCTCAGCTGTCTTTGCCGGTTATTTTTAGGTTAAATTCTAAAATAAATTGAAGAAAGCTGCGGTGGTACATACTCTTGTACGTAGGTTATTTTAAAATTTTAACCTGCGCCAAACATTTCTTTATTCATGAAAATTGCGCATTTGGATAATTGCGGTACTCGTGACATTTATATGCAAATTCATTGTATGTTCATTGTTTACTCAGGGTTATGAAACAATAAAGTGGATCTCTGTCGCCCCGAGAGCGCCAGTCTTTGTGAGCCATGTCAGGGGACGTGCAGCCAAGGAAACGTAAGGATAAAAAGAGGAAGAAAGGTAAAAAAACTGGGAATAAAGCGTTGAGATGTGATGTGCATACTAATGATATTGTAATGTGTTTTATTTTGCGTTACAGATGAGCTAGGTGTAGATGAAGGCCCTCGTGGCACGGCCGCAGCGCTTGGTGAAGGCGACGTGTTTATGCATTCTCCCAACGACCATGGCACTGGAGGACACTGGTGTGCCAAGATCATATTCTTTTCATTGCTCGCTGTACTTGTAACTCTAATTGGACTGATCATACTGGAGAACAGAGGTCTTTCGGAATGTATGTTGTCTTAACTTTTATTCAATGTTTTGAGTACTTACTTTTTAAACTTGCTGAGTATTTGTTAAAATTGAACTGCTTAAATTCACTAGGACTCTATTAAATATTATTAACGTAATAGTTTTATCTATATAACATTGTTTTATAATTTTTCTTATTAGAACAATTTCTACTTACATTTGAACATACTGAACACAACCACTCTATGTATTAAACATTAACATACCAAACTGATCTAAAATATTTAACATTATTTCACAGTAGAAGCAAATTCAGTAGAGTCTCGATATTCAGGAGTTCTCGAAGGTTGGTTGGAGGATGCACCTGATGATGACCACCACGATGAACATACTCTGGAACTGAAACATCATGTAAGTTTTTAAACAAAGGATAAAGCTAATAAATTCAATTTAGTTACAGCAAAATATCATTTCTTAAATATAGTCATAGTTGACAATTCAAACAATATATTTTCTATGGTGATCATAAGATTTCAAGTTGCTACAGAAGATTAGTAAGTACAGTCATTGTTCTAAATTCTCACTTACTCATCATAGAAATAGTGTTTACTTGTTTTTACATTAAGCTTGTAACCTAGGATGATGATGATGATGAAGATCATGATGATCATGATGATCAAAGTCGAGAACTAGATCATGATGATGAAGATGAGGACCATGATGACGATGACGAAGAAGGCGAAGATCATGATGATGATGATGAAGCCGAGGATCATGGTGATGATGAAGCTGATGATCATGATGATGATGAAGACGAAGGTGACGATGATAATACACATGAAGATGACGATGATGATGACCAAAAAGTTGCAGAAAGTGATGAAGATGGTGATGATCACGATGTAGTCGATCATGATGCCGATAATGACGATGATGGCGAAAACGAAGGTGATGACCATTCCGCTGACGACGACGACGACGATGACGATAATGATGATCAACAAGACCAAGACAGTGCAGAACAGGGTCCAAATAAATCTATTGAGGTGAATTTTGAATCATTACCTATGTTACTGTAATGGTTTAAAATCAAACTATTGTATTTAATACTGTTAACAGGATGACGATGACGTTAAGGGAAATATTGAAGAAAGTAGTGAAGATAATGATAATGACGACCTACAGAAAGTAGATGAAAACGAAACTGCAGAAGATAATGATGATGATGATGATGATGATGATGATGACCAAATTGATGATAGAAATGATAGTTTAGAGAACAATGATGCTGATGGTGATGATGAAAGCAATGAAAATGAACAAGATGACAAAGAATCACGTGAAAACGAGGTGCACAGTGTGATGCTTGAAAACATTTTTTGATTTGATTGGCACTAACAATTTAAAAATAAAGCTTCTTTTTCAAAATTTTAAACAGGAATCGAGACTGCGTTTTTGTAATATTAGTTTATTGTAACAAAATAACAATGAGTTTGTGTAACTTGTGTAGGACGAATTTACGGCTTATGACTACAATTTTAACATTGTTTATGTGCGAACACTGAAATATGAAGAATTTTATACTTATTTGTTTATTGTTGTGTATCTTCAAAAGCTTTTGAATGACTTTATAACTGTGCACTGTGAGGAGTTGCTCATGTTATGACTATTTTAACATGGTTTTGTTACCAAAGAACAAATGGACGCATTGGACATTTATCTTAATATTTTTAGCCTAAAAAACATCTTGGCTATCGGATTTTTAACGCTTTTGTCTACATCTCTAATCTAGTACTTTGATGTGTAGACTTATTGTTGTTTTTTAGATAAAAATTTACTTTAATTGTATTAGAAAAAGATTACTATTTAAATAATATTGCAGGATGAAGAAGAACACGAGGAGGAAGAAGACGATTTAGGAGTTGAAGTAGAGAGGCTAGAGAAAGAAGTTTCTGATGAAGATGCTTTGTCCGAAGAATCACCTGCGGCTGACGCCGAAAACGATGATAACGATGATGGTAAGCTAAATTCGACTCTATTCTCATTTCGGTAAATTGAAATTGCTAAAACATACATAGTAGTTTCTAATAACTGCTGCGCGATCATAGAAGATGAGCGTAGTTGGGTTATTAGTACTTTTACAGCATATTTTACGATTAGCGTAGTGTCTTGTCTAGGCAACTAGCTGCTGCGCAACACCTCAAATAAAAGGAATTCCAAGTAATCTGCAATGTTGACCCTATAATTTCATCTGTATGTCTACCTTATAACTACATCTGTATGTAATAAAATACTAGAATTCGATTTGTTTGCAGAAGCTTCGAAAGAAGTGGCTTCCGAAGATGTCGACGGAGCAGATGACGATGGTGACGATGATGGTGTTGCTGAAGATGAAGAGTTTTTGGAGCCAGGCGACATTGAAGAGGAACTGCCGGTTGTAGAACATATCGTGGCGCCCAAAGGAAAACCTTTAATTGAGGTAATTTCTTCTTGAACATTGTTTATGGTCAACATAGGTATTTATTTAAACTAGGTCTAAGAGTCTACACTGTTTTTGCTTTAGGTGCTTTGAGTGCTTCCGACCATTTTTCCACAAATCTTATCAACTTTGGCAAATTTTTTGTCACTTGAGTTCCAAATTATCTTAACCTCTGAGCCATAAATCCCAAAATTTAAAGAAAATAATTAATAAATTCTCCTGTTATTCAGGTTGAAGAAGAACCATCAACTGCAAAGCCAGTAGACACGCTCGCAGAAGAAGAAGAATATGAGAAACAACAAGAAGAATTGAGAAAGGAGCAGGAACAAGCTTCTCACAGTAAGTTCTTACATTATTTTTATAACCATGCATGCATTGTCCACCATTTGCTTTTTCATAATGGCTTTCAATTGCTGCAATGAACTGACCAGTTTTAAACAAACTAACACATTAATCCTCCTTTTACATTCGAACTTCAATTCTTTTAACACCTCAGGTTTTGGGTTTAAATTTAAAAAAATAACATTAGTTCTAACTTTATCTAATACTTGAAATGATTTGGGTTCATAAACTTTGTAAAAATAAATGTTTCGTTAAAATTTGTTTCTTTTATTTCAACCCATTTTGCTTTAATTGTGCTATGTTTAAGATTTCATTTATTTTTCTCACATCTACATACCTAAACGGACTTTTAAAAAACTGTTTAATTATATTTATCTTCGGTTTGTAGCATTTTGTGTTGTATTATTGCCTTAAATCATAAATGTATCGAACATTCATCTTCAAAGTCACTGAAATCTATGTTAAACTACTTTTTCAAAATTTGTCTCGATTTATGTGCGTTAAAAATACGTCTTCAAAATTATTTAACACATGAAAACAATTTTTCTTTTCACTTTTATTTCCAATACACATTTGTGTCTACTGCATATTTGCACAGACCATACATTGTATCTATTTATCACTACCATCCATTTATATTTTTCATCGAATTGATATTGTATGTATAGTTTGACCACTATTCATAATATTTTCCTGACATTCGATTGTAGCGTTAGTCATGTAATTCATGCGTTACGAGCCATAAAGCCAATACTGCAATAACAATCTTGTTTTCATTTAATCTAATATTGCAAATATAGTTTGAATTATCTGAAAAATATGTATTTAAATAAATATATTTACGTACAGCACCCAAGTTCAAACACACGAAGCTGTCACTTTATTTTATAGCTGACTACGAAAACGGAATTTAAAATATGTCCCTGCAGACTGGCTATTCGCGACTGCCATAAATGCCAACCTTATAGACTTTATCGAATGTAGAAGATCGGATTTCGGATTCCATTAACTGGCAATGGCGGTCACGAGTAGTCCATGGGCCTAGTAGCGACAGCACGCGTGTTTGTGGGCAGTGCTCGTGGGTGTGGGGTAACGCTCGTGCCGCGTGTGTTGCAGTGTGGCTGAAGCTGGTGGTGGGTGGCGCGCTGCTCGTCGCCACTCACGCGGTCGTGCGCCGCGCCACTGCCCCGCGCGGTGCGTACTGTACTACTATACTCAAATATCATAAGCCTTAACGTATATGGTTTTATCCAAAGCTAGAAAATTAGCATCCTTAATATTTGAACAATCGAGTAAAATAAATTTAACAATATTGATTTGTACTTACTGTACTTAGTTACAAAGTCCGAAAGACTACTTACAAATAGTGAAGTTATTTATTTAGTCCTGGGTAGTAACAAACAAATTAGACCAACTATCAAAAGAATTGGGACATCTATTAGTTAGTCTATTAAAATCCGATCGTTATTACTTGGCACTGCTCCAGTAATGTTCACCTATGGTTATATTTGACAAGTGTTCCAAATTAACAGCAATTTGAGACGAATACTTAGTGCCTAATACAATCTTAAACCAAGAAATACTTTTAGAGACTGAGAATATAGCATGGTACCTTTTTACTGAAGTAGTGGATGGAGCTACTCAATATTTTGACAGCTAGTAGAAGATTGAGACAATGATAGATAGTGAAATGTAATTTTGGTAACAGATGATACACCAGCAAGTGACGAGCACGGTAGTAGGGAGGAAACACCAGTCATAGACCGACGAATGACGCTCATTGCTGAAGAAGCAGCCGCAGATGGTAGGAAACATTTGCAAAACATAATTTTCTGAGCCACCACTTATTCCACGTATCTTTTTTTAATGACTTATTTTACGTCCTTCAGCTGTGCCAAGTGAAGTTGTTGAAGAAATTGAAGTACCAGTTGAAAAAATTATCGAAAAGGTTTCCTCTGTTCTTAAAGCTCCTCAGAAACAAGAAAGCGAAGAAGAAGAGGTAGAGGAAGAAGAAGAAAACGAAAATGAAATTGAAGAAACCAAGGTAAGGACTCACCAATATTGTGACCGTGATTTTGTTTACAAACATACTTTATATTAAGAAAATTGACCGCAGGATGTAGTTCAGAAAGAGTCGACAAAGGATAAAGAATTGTACAGCGACGAAGAAGTTGAAGAAGAGGAGGAGGAAGAGAAAGAAATACAAGAGAAGAATGTGAAAGCTGTAGGAACTGAACCTCTGAAACAAACCGTACCTACGACTTGGAAGGAACCAGAGCCTGAGGCGGACGAAGAAGTACCTGATGACGTAGAAATAATTGACGACGAACAACTTGAAGAAGAATTGGAGGAAGAGGATGAAGAGGAAGAGATATCTGACGTGGATGATGCAGAACTACTCAGTCGGCTCGAAGCTAAATACGGACGGCTGCCAGAACCGGAACGACCCGGACAAAAACACAGTAAACACGACTGTCTGCGTGTGACCGCTTGCGCGTGTAGACTCGCTGTTGGCTTCATCATTCTAACCAATTAACACTCCCTGGCATGACTAACAGTAACGTGAGTGGATTGAACTCTTCATATTAAGTTACCTTTTATGTGTCATCGGTGTTTTCTTTTCTTTATTTGTTTTTTTTAATAGCTACACTATGCAGATACTGTCCCGAATATAATAAGATTGTGATTTTAGATCCCTAAAAAACTCGAAACAAAGTTATCGAAGCCAGCTCATAAATTTTTTTCTACTTCTAAACAGAGTAATAGTAAAAAAATAAACAGATTTGGTTTAAGACACTGCATTCTCCATTTACAGAGGATGGTGGGAACAGTATAGAAGATGATTGGCCAGGAGAGCCAAGCGACCAGTACTGGCGCCAGCAACTCGACCAAGCTGAAGAAGAGTTGCGCCAGGTGAGTGATCTATCAAATTAAAATATTTTAATTTCTGATAAATATGGAATACTTCTGTAATGGATATAGTCTCTTAATTTAGAAATCATAATTATCTTTGTTTTAAAGAAAAGTATGTAGTCTATTCTCTTTAGCGGTTGGTGTATTCTCGTACCTACTATTTTAAGTGATTTTTTATTTGTGGATCATTAAACTGCATGAAGTGTTTTTTTTTAATTAACAAACATGTACAAGGTTTGAACTTTCTCTAAGCTTTCCGCTTCCCAGCTTTACGTTACATCATATCGTATACACCAACAGCACTTCATTAAAATTGAATCTACTTATTATAAAGTTTATAAGTTCTCATTGAACAATTTTGAATCAATTTCCAGGAGTGGCTCGACTAACTTATATATTTTATTTTTCGCATCCAAAATTCGCATCCGTCATACTTTGCTCGTTGTGCCATTTTCCTATCGACTCGTCGAAGGATATGTCGGGTTGCTTCTCACGCCCGCACCCTGCGTGGGCCGCCCCCGACTTCCCTCGACGACATCGTCTCCCCCTAGATTAGGACCAGTTTCTCGTCTACCCTTGTTGCAAATACGAAGAGGAAAGCAAGTCTGTTGAAACTAATAGAGAAGAATATTTTTGTTGATGCTTTCCACTTCATTGTAACATGGATAAAGCGAGTGTTGTGTGTAAAGAGTGTGTGTGAGTGTATTGTGTACTAACGTACGAGGGCGAGTGGAGCGCGGCCAGTAAGCGCGCGGGCGCGACGCAGCTGGCCGGCAGTGCGCGCGCGCGCTGGCTGCTGGCGCGGGCCGCCGACGCCGAGGCCGAGGCGCGCCGCGACAACAGACTGCTCACGCGAGCCATCACCGCCTACCTCGACCTGCTCAAGATGAACGAACGCCTTACTGACCACAAGCTACTGCAGGTCGCTCATCGAACACTTGACAGAATCCGATTCAGAGGTAACTCAATGATAATATAATATTTGACTAAAACCACTGATATATTTCAGATTTCATTAAGAATTTCTTGACTAATCACTGAATGTGTAATACTTGCAGGCAATTATCTGAGTGCTGAACCTGTCTACAGGCTTCTCATTCGCCGGTTTCCTGATGTTCCTGGTTACTACAACAACTTAACAATATCCTTCCTTATGGCTAACAGGTGATTTGATCGTCGAGCATAGATAGTTCATAAATATACCTACATCAGTAGATTTCGACCTGAAAGTTACAAAAATAATTCACTTCTTTCAGGGCTGATCTTGCAGAACAAGTTTTAAAAGACACTCTTAAAAAGTGGCCTGATGATCGAGTAGCTTTAGCTCACCATGGCTTCGTACTGAAAACTCGACATAACCGCCTAGAAGAGGCTGTGGAGGCCTTTCAAAAAGCTTTACAGAACGACACGGGTCCTGCAACCGAATCTCGATTCTATTACCATCTAGGAGACTCACTTCTCTTATTGGGCCGATACGCAGAAGCCCATGAAGTCCATAAACGAGGAGCTGCTATGGGATACTTTTTGTCTCCTTCACAACGTTCACTGTATAACGTTGATCGTCTAAAAAGCCGTCCATGGTGGAATATAGAGCAGACTCCTTATACAAAACTGGCTCGCGCTCTTGAAAGATCATGGAAAGAAATTTTGAAGGAGGGAGAAGCAGCTAAAGCTTTATATGAAAAAGAGAAGGAGGGTTTAAAGGAGCGAGGCGAATGGTCGCAATTAGACTTGTTTGTTAGAGGCCAAGAAATTCCCAATAGGTGTAAACGTGCGCCAGTCACGTGTTCGATCGTACGCTCAGAAGTCGCTGCGTCGGGCTGTCGCCGTGGGCAGGTCAAGTTTAGTGCTATGGAGGCGGGCACCCACGTGCGACCTCATGTCGGTCCTACTAACTGCCGGTTAAGAATGCACTTAGGTCTCAGTAATACCAAAGATACTTACATTAGAGTGGATAAAGAAACGAGGTAATTGACCAACACTATACTCTATTTAGTGTAATATGTTTATTATTGTTACTGATTTCTTTATAAATATTTGTTTTGATTGTTCACAGACAGTGGCAAGTGGGAAAGACGTTCATGTTTGATGATAGTTTCGAGCATGAGGTGTGGCACAATGGCACGGGGACCCGTTTGGTTCTCATCGTAGACGTATGGCATCCTGACCTTACGCCTGCCGAGCGACGCTCCCTGCCGCCCATTTAGCACCACGTACCGCAGTGCAAACCTTTACGATACCCATATCAATTAGAAAACGCGACTTAATCAACTGCAGCGCGAATAATTTCATATAAGAATGTACCAAACTGATTGAGACTAATACTTTGAAAGTAAATAAAGAAACTAGTCAATTTACACCAATACGTTAGCGTTGCATTTAAGGCAAAGTTTGCCTCGCCTATGTATTATTCAATTTCTCTTCTAGAATCTCTGTCTTGTACAAAACTATATGAATCAGTAAGGAACGGTCGATTTTTATAGATATTTGCATTTGATCAAATACCACTAACAACTGCATTATCCATACCTTTTATCAACATAATTATAGTCAACTAATGTTTTAATATATTTTTCTGTATATAGTTGGCAATTTAACAAATTTACTAAAAAACGGAAAAAACATTAATTGACTAAAATTACGTAAACCAGTATTTACTAGTGTACCTTGTGATATATTTTTGCGATCTTATATATGTATTTTTTTCTGTTAAGATTAATGTTAAGAATAAAATTTCAATGCTCGATATAAAATATCTTTTAATATTTTCACCAATAGTCCAAATAGAGGTATACTAATGTAATAATAAAATACAATACTTCCTTCGTAGGTGTATATTTGGTATAAAAGTTACCAGACCATCTGGTTCAAATATAACCCTATAACTTCTTAGCTTAACCTAATAAAGCTCGTTGTAATCTAATTATTTGCTAGGTACAAGATTGGTCCATAGTTACATCAAATATGATTTAAATCTTATGTCGAAATACTCAAACGCTACTCAACTTCAAGTCGCGCTTAAGTATAGTTCTGTCACTACAATTCTTTGTAAAATGACAGAGATGACACGATATTTAAGTACGTACAATTAAAATTGAGTAGCCTTTCAGTATTCGGGAGTTAGCTACACAAATTCGATCTTCAGATGTTACAAAAGTAATCACGAGATTCTTGTTTACACTAAACTGGACGGATGTGTAATACGTAAATTCCAATTACAATGAATAAGGTAGTTCCTTATTAGGAATTTAATGAATGAGATTTTTATCACTATTCTATATAATGTTGAGAGCTACACTATAAAACTTTCGTAAGGAATGTTTGCCACTGGAATGTTAGAGAGACAACCTTTATCTACAGGCTTCACAAATATTCGTTGTGCACATTATTATTATATATAAATAAGTACGTCACTGAGCAAAAACTTTAAACATTCATAGGCATCATAATATCATTGAGCTAGTGAAAAACCTGTACTCAGATCTCTAATGACAATATTCTTATGGTATTAATGTAACTATAACCTATTTCTGGCAGAAACTTAACACTAAGAGTTCCATTAAAGCTAACATCTTGATAAAATAATAACAATGACTTAAAATATACTCGCCTAAACCCAAAGTAAATCATTTCGAAACGACTTCAAAACTAGAGTAATTCGTATAAAATCACATTCACGTTTCGTAACATCCATTTCATACATTCATAAACACCACTTGATGGCAATTATTTTCGATTCTTAAAAATAAATCAGATCTTAAAAATAATATTTAAGGCTCCGCCTCCACTTCACTACTGGAAAAACATCACATAAGTAAATTAAAATTTGAAATGTGTTATATCCAGAAATGGTGCAAATAGGCCACACATGTTTTAATTTCAACTAGTAAATAACATCACTGCAATAAGGCACTTAAGTACTTTGCAAGTTTTTACTATATTATGGTCCTACATTCATATTATAATGATCATTAGCCGCCTGGTACGCGGGCGGACCGGGCGCCTGTGGCGTGGCTCGGGCACTGTAGGGCGGCGCTGGAGGTGGCGGCGTCTGCCACGCACCATCGCCGTATGCTCCACCATACACATATGACGGAGACTCGCAAGGCGTTATATTGTCTGCTCTATTGTCGTAGGTCGGAGCGGCTTCGTAACTTCGTTCAATATTATCGTAAGACGGAATGTTTGATTCATATTTCCTCTGTGGATTTGGCTCGTTGTATGGGCCAACGACATCGTAACCTGACTTCATACTGCTACGTCCAATGGTATTATATCTATTATTAGTAACTATAGGAACAGATTCGACTGGAGGCGGTGGATCATTGTAAGCATCGTCCACACAAGGAAAGTTTTCCCTTTCTGGAGCATGATATGAAACAGGGCGAGCCGCGTGGAAATTGGAATATGAGGAGTGTGCTGATGTGGGACGCGACGCTCTCGATTCACGAGGTAATGAAGCATTTGATGATAAATACCCAGCGTTTCTATATGAACGACGTGATCTACGGACTGACGAGTTGTTTCCACGAGAACCTGATCGACGCTTGACTCGTCGCGGAGTCATTGGTTTCATTGAAGTTTCACTGATGTTTGTTTCAGTTGGGCTCAGTTCTATTGTGTACACTGGACGACGTGATATGGTCCCTTTATCTGTAAAGATATTATGGTCATCATTGTCTCTGAATTATCATTATTACACATAATATGTTGATATAATTTTAATACTACTTTTTATGCTTTACCTGCTGCTGGTTTTTGTTTCTTAAAAGATCTGAACGACAGTACTACAGCTAAGGGTAATGCAGTGGCCGCCAGGGTAGCAGCAACAGCTGACTGTCCCAGTTCTACATGATCCCACTGCATAAAGCAGCCCTCTACTCGTGTGGGCCTCCATGTGCCCGGACCATCCACTTCGTCCCAGACTGGTTGACAGCCCCAACCATTGCTTTCCCACCAACTAACACTGCCTGTACCCAGTGATAATAAACCACTGTCCTGCAAATGTTAACATACACATCACATCTGGACTATTCATGAAACAATAAACCTGAAATGGATTTACAATGGTCTTCTATTTATTGTGAGAATTAATCTGATTAGATTACATTTTTAGAGGACTCTTCAAAGTCAAAGTCAAAGCATTTATTTCAGTTAAACCATAATTTGGTACTTTTGAAATGTCAACAAATACAAAATAAATAATAGTATGTCAGTCAGTTTGTCAGTGAAGCTAGGTGCTCATTCCAAAATGTAGATTCGAATGGAGAAGAATGAACAAGAAACTCTATTAGTTACTCTTCTTCAAAAAGTATGTTCTTTAATGTCTCTAAAAATCGGTGCATTTATTGAGTATGTATTTATTCCCAAGTCAAAAGCTCCATACTACCTTTCAAATTCAGAAATTGTTTCCTCAAACTCAGTAATTAAAACCTTAGTAGGCGTGTGCACTAATATTTTTCTTCTAGAAGCACATTTTAAGAAGAAAACATACATTAATAATGATTTTAAATGAGACAATAATTATATTGAATACATACCCTGTTCAAAGTGCCCAGATTCAGGTAATAACAAATTAAGAATATGTTCCACACCAGCCACATAAAACTCCAGATGGCATACTGCAAAAGAATACAATGTTCTTTATTATATGCCTATCGCAAATAGTAAACCCAATTCAATGTTAATGTAAATAAACAATCTGTCAATTGTTATCTACTTTGTAAATATGCCAGCCACAGTAAAAAATATTGTTACTGAAGGTGTAAATTAAATCATTTCTAATAATTACTGTCTAACAATTTCTGATAATATGAATAAACTTCATTATAAGCAAGTATCCAAAAATTCATTGAAAAAAAGAAGTGAAAAATAATATTTAAATCAATAAACTACTTTCCAATAAAAGGTATCTAGTATTTAAACTGAATAGTACTTATGTAACAGATTGTTGATACGCATGGTGAAAGCAAAACTAAGTAGGTCACTATAGCATCACATGTTACTCCCACATTCCATTGTTAACTTACTGCTAAAAGATATTTCGTTATGTACTGAACCGCCCCAAATGATCCAAATATAATCAACAGGATATTTGTAAAGTTTGCTATAATAGGCAGCCACATATAACCCAGGAAATCAAAAACTTGCCGCTGCACTGTGATGATCTGTAACAACAATAGCAATCAAAATACCAATTAGACTCATTCTCTAAGAAAGTGATTCATAATAATGCTTAGGTCATTGGAATCTGCAAACTATGAAGTACCTACTGAGGTCATCAATCCCTAGACTGACTAGGCCTACACTTTTTAGCCCTTGCAAATGAAATGTTCTATCACAAGAATAATGTTATTAGACAATGAAAAACATGTAACTTCGGACTATATTTAAGTTCAATCTGTAAGGGTTTCAAACAAAAACATACCAATTCCAAAATACAGACGATCAACAATAACGTCCTTAGTCCACAAACAGCCATTTCGGTAATTATTGACTGAACAGTATACAATTATTATAGTTATTTATAAAATTTACGAATACATTGTATAATCTTACTTATTAACACATTTCAATTCAACAAATTAAATAAAACATTATTTATTTCGTTTGATCTTGTATATGACCAACTGTCCACCAAAGAGAAAAAATACTTTTTAAAAGTGTGGTACTCTTTTGGAGTTGTCAAAAAAGTACTGTCAAATGAAGTAACAAATTATTGTGGGTTTATCGAGTTGACTCGACTAATAATTTGAATTCTATGAGTATTTTTTTTTTAAATATCTCATACCAAGGTGCATTACATTGAATGTGTTTCTAAGTACATGATACGCTTTACTAATGGATAAATCCGTGAATTACAATCGATTTTTAGGCGATTTGATGATATATTAAAAGCTCTATATAGTCGAGTCTAGTATAAACAATTAGTTGATATCCTTCTTGGCATCTCTATGTTGGTAATCACGATTTGTATTGATCGGGGTTTACTCATCATAATTTGAATTTTGTCGAATACAGTACACAGAGGACTCCAAGTCTCTGTCTGCCTTATTTATTTATATCTTTACTGTGAGAGATTGTAACTGGTAAGTACAATTGAATAATTTTATAACATTCGCAAATCATCCGTTGGTTAGATATCCCTAAAACACCGGTAACCTCTCTTCATAATTATTTTCAGAAAAGAATCGCAATGGCGACTGAAACTTTAATCCCATTAGAATCCAACCCTGAGGTTATGAATAAGTTTCTTCAAAAGTTAGGAGTCCCTAGTCAATGGAGTATCGTCGATGTCATGGGTCTTGAACCAGAGATGTTATCCTGGGTTCCTCGCCCTGTACTCTCGGTTATGCTTCTCTTCCCTATAAGTGATGCTTATGAAGAACATAAACAAAAAGAAGAAAGCGATATTCTGTCCAAAGGTCAAGAAGTTTCCAGCAACATTTTCTACATGAAACAGTTCATAAGTAATGCATGTGGCACTGTTGCTCTTGTGCATAGTGTTGCTAATAATACTGATAAAATAGAGCTGGCTGATGGCCACATGAAGAAGTTCCTAGATGAAGCCAAAGATATGGATGCTCCCGCCAGAGGGAAATTATTAGAAAAGTCAGAGGGTATTATTCAAGGTCATAAGGAATTGGCCCTAGAGGGCCAAACTAATACCCCCAGTGCTGAAGAGCCTGTGAATCATCACTTTATTACTTTTGTACACAAGGATGGCTTTTTGTATGAATTGGATGGACGTAAAGCTTTCCCCGTTAATCATGGGCCTACTACTCCGGATTCTCTCCTAGAAGATGCTGCTAAGGTGTGCCAGAGCTTTATGGCTCGTGATCCTAATGAAGTTCGTTTTACAGTGATTGCTCTGGCTGCTTCCGACTAATGTACCACTCTGTAGATTGGAGTAACACTACAGCAATATGCAAGCTGCAGTTATAATGAGCCATGCTTTTATATCGAAGCTTAATATATTCTCATGTTTGATACAAAAAGGTGCAATGCAAGCTTTTGTGATACTATAAAGTATTTATTTTGAAATAGATGTCTTAATAAATTTGTCAATAAAATAAAAACTTTTTTTATTCATCCTGATAGCTCAGTAACTTTATTCACAAATTTTGTATTATGAGAATCATGTCTTGTGATTAAAAATAACTGTGTAATTTGGCTGAAATATCAAATGATACACTTTATAAACAAAGATATTAAAAAATCTAGAAATTTCTCCACAATAAATTCACCTTCAAACGACTCGCGTTAGGATAAATCGGGCGAGCATGTACATTGCGGTATTTGTTTTATATTGATACTTTGTAGGTATTCATAATTTGCGCAGCGTCTCGCGTCGCTGAACATAAGCTTCAAGGCTTGTCGTTGACTTATGTAGTAGTAAGGATATATTATATCGCCATCACGTGTCATAACTAGTTACTTATTTTTGTAACATTATTTTTGGTCTGGGAAGAAGTAAATGAAATTAATATAATGTTCTTATAAAAAAATATTTTTGAAAATTGGTTCACGTTAGTAATGTGGGCCGAAATAGGTACTTAAATAATATATTTATCAATATATTTATATGTAACGTACAGTATTTATTTCAAAAGAACAAAGTTTTTCAAATACCCACATAATTAGTTTCACCCTTCGTTGATAGTTCAAGTTACCATGGCGCTCGCTGGCGCCAATACAATTAAGTACTCTTTATTTATTCACTTCACCCAACTCGAGAACTAGCTAAGTAAATATTAACTCAGAATTTGAGTTATTTATTCGGTAATCCACTTCCAGTAGTCGAATAAACGCGTTTCATCGTAGAAATATCTTATTCTATACGTTATCTTGGTAGGTATGGTTGTCTGATAAAATTATATTGCGCCATATTCAAAAGAGACTTGTTATTGCAGAAAGTGGTCTAAAAACACATAAAAACCAACCAATACCATACTTACACAGCTTGGTAATGGTAAACCAAATTTCCTTGTTTCTGCAGTCGCGCACACGGCCATTCAACCAATGTAACAGTTGGAAAATCTATCACAAAATAATACGCTTTCCAGACTATAATCACGACCTTGAGTTCCCTATTGAAGGACGAGTCTTGATCTTGGAAGGTCAAGTCCTTCATAAGGGGCCATCCATAAATTACGTCACAACTTAAGGGGGAGGGAGGGGGTCGACGAAGTGTGACATTGTGTGACAAGGGGGAGGGAGGGATCCAAAACTTTGTGATGTCACATTTCAAAAACTAATAGTTAATCTGTGTTAAAATACGAAACATAAATGTATTAATGTTTTTTATTAAGTTAATTGTTTGATTTGACATTAATATTTTTTTAAAGTAATTTAAGTGAAAAAACAATAGTTTCTATACTGTAATTCTGCAAATTGTGACGTCACACTAGGGGGGGGCGTCTCACAAATGTGACTAGCTGTGACAAGGACGGGGGAGGGGTATAAAAATCATGAAATTCGTGTGACGTAATTTATGGATGACCCCTAATAGGGCAATGTCGTAAAGTTCAGACGTCTAGAGAAATGAGGTCTATTGAAGTGCAGACAAGGTCGTCTCTATTTAGTACATAGATAAAATTAGATTCTTGATTGCCCTTGCTGACCAATGGTATGAGATCACAAGGGGATCATTGTATTTTGTCTTATAACTAACTTTTATATAGAGCTTATTTCATCACATGTCAGTCATCACACGGCGCGGCCAGTTGCCAGTTTTCTGAAGAAGCTGTGAGTCGAGCCGGCCTATTCGAGTTTGCACCGAAGCACACAGCCGGGTTTCACACGAGAACACTCACTTTCTATAATTAGAGATAGAGTTTTTTGATATTCGGCTGTGAACGTCAAGACGTTGGACAAAAGTGGTTAAGTGTAGGTAGGTTTTCGGTTTTCGATTCTCAGATGTACTTACGTCTGCAAATATACTTTTATTTAATAAGATGTTATTTAGATTTAAATAGTTAAAATGAAAAACTTCTATAGTAGTTGTGGGGCTGGTGGCACGAAAATCCCGAACTTCTATAGAAGTGCTTGGCGGTGAAAAGGTTAAGGTTGTAACTTGTTTGGTAAATGGCTAATAACTCAAGACCTTAAATGGGTTGAACGAGACTTTACGGTATCTTGCTTGAGCGGCCCAGAATTGCAAGCTTTTCCGGCACGACGCCATTGCAATATTTAACTAGGCTACCATTCTTAAAATCTGTTAGGTATTAGTATTATTTATGTATAAGCAACATTCATTTCATTTGAGAGGCTAATAAAATTAATGTGAGTGTTAAATAAAACAGAAATTATGCAAAATTGAAATGTATTATTTGAAAATATCATGAAGAGGCAAATATTATTCAGAATTATTTAGGAATACATTAATAATTTAATTTATAATTTATTAAGTTAGATACCTTGTGTAATAAATAGTCAATATTATATGTCATATTTTAAAGGCCTAACCTACTAAAACGTTCACAAATAGACAAATATAAAACCTTTATTGCATTCACTTTTTATATCTTTACACTGTAGCACCTACATTACGTTTAACAACAACAGTCAATATAAAGATTTTCACATACTATATAAAATTCATTAAAATGTCGAATTATCACAACAGTGCCTACTTAAGTAACTGGAATGTATAAATATTAGTTTGAGCTACAATTTCCATTATCCCTCATACAGCAGTTACTTGAGATCTCTACCTAAGTATCATTGGTACTTTATACTTATGCTGCGGAATGGTTAAATTGAATACTAATATAATATCACACCCGTAACAATAATATCAAAGAGAACATTAAAAACGAAAATTCTTTTGTAACTGTCAACTGGAGTTACGGTCAATGATTATAATTAATGTACAGTAAATCGAGTCATTAGATATATAGGTAAGAAAATAAAAATTGTTATACTAAATTGATATGCTTTTTAACTAAATCAAATCTTTTATAACTATTGATCAACCTGATAACCAACCAATGTTTCTTACTGTTTCTGTATGAAATCAATTTTATTTTCTTACCTTTTTTTTAATAACTTGGCTGTTTGTGCATAATTGTATACAACAAATAAAATAGAACTTATTACGAAGCTGCTGAAATGTTCATGATTAATGCTCTAACTTGCCTATAATTAGTCTATTGTATCTAAATAATTCTTCATATCCTTTCTATCAGCGCTGGTTCCTGTTCTTCAGCGTTTACGTCGGAATTATTAATTGAGGATTCACCTGAAATGTAAAAATTATATTTTAGGAATAGAACTAATTTAATTTGAAATATTAATCTAAGCTAATAAGTAGTTCTTAGGTTCTGTCCGTCATACTGTCCAGGGTTAAAAAATAATGACTGTTATAAGGCTTCTAATACTAATACACATTATCAACCTGAATTATGGTAATTAGTACTTATAACATGGGACTCATAACATAAATAGTGAAAAGTGGGTGTTACATTGTACAGTCGTATAATGTGCACCTCTGCCTACCCCTTCGAGGATAAAAGGCGTGATGTTATAAGTAACATAACATCACGCCTTTTATCCCCGAAGGGGAAGGCGGAGGTGCACATTATGGCACTGAATACCACTGTACAATGTAACACCCTCTTTTCACTAGGTATTTATGTTATAAGTCTCATGTAATAGGGGGTGAGCCTATTGCCATATACCGGGCACAATTCCAAACTCCGTGTATTTAAGTGCCGGTTTCACTACCTCTATAGAAGTAAGCGGAAGATTAACCTATATTAGTTTTTGTTCAAAATCTAATAGATAACGGTTATCCAGATATTGTAAAACAGGCCCTTAGTGTAGCAAGTACAATGTTATACAACCATGCTCTCTATTAATTAAATAAATTAGATTCAAAAACGATTGCTCAGTAAATAGTTCTAGCAGTCTATTAGGTAATAAAATAGATCTATTCATGGACCATAAACTTACCACTGAGTAGTAAGGCATCAGATCGGAATTTAGGTAACAGTAGTGTGAGTATCAGTCCCGCAATCGCTGCTATACCACACACCCACACCAACGCATTCGCATAGTACGCAGGGTCAGCTCCGTCGGCACTGAAAATATTAAAATAGTTATCAGAATATGCGGGATTAATCACAACTTTTTTTTTAATTCCAAGGAAAAAATTGTGTTACTACGATCTAGTTTGATAATGATAAGTAATTAATTTTTAAATGTTTTACTAAGTAGTAGTAATATAACTAAGAATAAGTCTTAAATCCATTATCACTATTCTTATTTGTAACCGACTTCCCAAAAAGAGGATTTTCTCAATTCGTCTGTAGGTTTTTTTTATAATACTTACAAACTCAATCCTTTTAGCAGTTGTATACAAGATAATAATGATACATTAACTAAAAAGGTTTCGTACTTTTTAGTCATCTGTCGACACAGAAAATATTGAAATGACCATCAAAATATGCGGGACTTATCATAACTGCACTAACAATATGCAACTGCATCGTTAACTCAAAGAAAAACAATTAAAAATATAATGTTAGTTGCCTACAAGCAGCGATTAATTAAATTAAGTACTTAGTTACCTATTGAGGCTTAGATTTTTACTACTCCATTTCATATAAACGTCGAAAGTCGTGCGATTATAAGGAAAAATATACAAAATTTGAGAGATAGGTACTGACTACAGATTTTTTTCCTTATTCAACTTGAGAGCAGATTTATATTCTTAAAAACTAGTTCCTACCGTTGATTTACCTCGCATTTCTAGGATAAAAAGTAGCCTATATTAGTTTAGATTTTGTGTGAATAAGTAACTAACATCCATACATTCTCATATAATTTCATAATAATAATTATCTCTAATATTAGCAGGATACAATCTACCTACAATTTTTTCCTTATTATTCAACATTCCGTGCTAGTAAATTAAGTAAATACAATAAATTAAATTGTAAAAGCTAAATCACACTTCCAATGCTTATTTACTAAGTTTAGGTATATTTAATTGAAATGCATAGTTTTGGCCGTCAGTAAACGATAAGAGAATAAATACATTTATAATAATAGTTATTTTGATCTGATACCCTCATTACCTTTATACCGGTCAGTAGTGATGTGGCCTTATCTTAGCAACATCTATCAATAGATAGGAATGAATTAGCTGTGATATCTATATATGTGACTCAATCCATGTATTTTGATATTATCAATATAATAGATATTATAAGGTAGGTATTTCCCGTTAATCAAATATTATATTCCAATATAGATGCAATTTTTTTTATAAGTGTAATGTTTCAATCTAAGTAGATATACTTTTTTATTTCCTAGCTGGTTGGGGAGAGTGCAAATGTGACTGTTGGCCAAGGAAGTCTTAAGTAATCGGGTTTGATTCACCATAAGAAGTGTTTGTGATATTCTCACTACTAACACATAGGTAAGGTAACCAATGTATTATGGAGTTCACCCCTAAATAGGTGTACTAAAACATAACTGATGTCAAGATGATATATTTCGCCTGTAAACCTCTGCCTAGCCCTTAGGGGAACATTATGTCTGCTAAGTTATGTGAATAATTAATTGACAATATTAGTGTCCAGCTGCTGGTATGAATCATCGGTGAACTCACTAGGCTTGTATAATCGCAATGGCGACGCCGCACGCGAGCTTATCAGTGAAACTCATGAGGCCGTATACAAAGGCAGAAGCTTCCGTCCTAGCGCCAACCAGGTCAGCCGTCAGAGCTAGACTTGTCACCAACATCACTGCACCACCAAAACCTGACAAAAAACAAAATATTGAATACAATAGGTGCTTTCTTTTATAATTATTGGCACCTCCATTACACAGAATTCAAGTGACTAATACTAGAACAATAAATGTTATTACAAAATTAAACAGTTCATTGATCAACTATGTTATTCAGTAATAACTTACGTATTTTAAACAAACTTGCAGGGTAAAGAACAAGCTTCTACTATTTAAAACATTTCATGACAAATGTAGGGAATGACTAAACAAAAGACAAAATGTTACACAAAGAGAAAGAGGTTCATTGTATAATACATTATGTGGGTAGATAGTTACATCTATGGAAGTAGGATTAGGATACTAACCTATTAACACGGCAACCACATAAATGAAATACACTTTATAATCATCATCTGATCCGAGATAAATCCACACAAAACCAGCAATAGCACATGCGGAACCGGTCAAATAATTAAGTTTTCTCGTGAAGGACCTTGGTGCCAACCTCTGGACTCCAGCAGCAGCCAGACTGCCGAGGTACAAGGCGAGAGGAACTACAGCTAGGGCTCGTGCAGCCAGCCCTAAAGTCCGATGGAGGTACAAGGGGATGAGCACCTGCGATATGTTCACCACCAACCTTGTACACATGTACACGCCTGCCACCTAGAAACAACATTGTTAATTAATAGATACATAATTCATTACATATCATTAGCATTATTATCTACACTAAGTGTGCCAATTAGCTGATAACAAAACAAATATAGTTAGTGTTCTATTCATTCCAATAACTGAATACAATAAATAATAAATCTGTCGTACTTTACCTGATACATGTGTGGTTTGCGTAGAAAATCATAATGCGCACCACTTTCGCCTTCTAAAAATTGATCACGACGTAGATAGTTATTTTTCTCAGTTACGGAGAAGTGAAATATTATTGATGCTAATGTTCCTAGTCCTAATACTATGTAGACAATATGCCTAAATTTCCAAGCGTCAGTAGGTCCCACTTGCTACAAAAAAAAAATGTAATTACCAGCTATATAATAATGATATAATAGAAAAAAAATTGCATTTAAAATTTAAACATACATGTCTGTCACATTCCCCAGTCAAATGTAATATAATCCATGTGATAATATAAACAAATAGATTTGAGAATACTGTAAAACCATATCTGTAACAATTAAAACATGAAAATGTAATATAATCCATGTGATAATATAAACAAATAGATTTGAGAATACTGTAAAACCATATCTGTAACAATTAAAACATGATTATTAGATTTCAGTAACATCTGTTCAAATAAATTATTCATTTTAAACAAATCGTTGTGTACATATATTGTGTTGACTAAATATTTATACACATGAAACATTTCGTGTAATGTATTTAAAAGAACTTCTTTTGTTACTTTAATAGTTTTTAATGATTTACCTGATTGCAGTCAGATGTGTCCTGGTATGGTCATCTTCCGACAACTCCGGGATTAAACTTAAATGGGATATCTGCACGGCAGCCCATCCTATTTGGAATATGATAATAAATGATGCATAATAATACATTTGAGCCCATTTGTGTGCTGATGTACATCCAATACATTCTGAGAATATGAACGGAAAAGATGCTAGAACACAGAAGGTACCTGAAAAAAAAGAATAAGTAATTACATTAGAACTTAGTTTTAAAGTACTTTTTTAAATATGAATAATTACAGTTACTTATGACTTACCAAACAAATGCCACAGTTTCCGTCGACCATATTTTAAACTTAAGTGATTATCTGTATGGTCTGAATGGTAACCCACAAATGGTGTTGATACAGCATCCATAACTTGACCAATTAACATTAGAGTCCCTGACTGGGAAGCAGTAAACTCAAGCACTAAATGAAAATAAACTAAGAAATATGTAAACCATAAACTTGCACAGACATCATTTAATACATGCCCAATGCCATAGCCGAGCTGTAATCGCAGACTGGTAGATATGTGAACGAATTCTGAATCCATTTTATATTAGGAAAATTAGATATTTTATAAAAAGAAATTTAAATTATATACGTCCTTTATTTTTTTAAACTCATTCACATTTCACTAGCGTTTTAAACGTTTACAAAAGAAGTCTATTATCCATTGCTGTCACGATCGTGACTCGTATAATTGAATAATTTTATTAGGATATTTATAAATATTACAATTCACTTTGTTTTCACTTCTAGCACACGCAAACAGTTTTAAAACAATCCCACCGCCTCGTTCTCGTCAAGTCGTCAAATAATGATTAGACGTTAATGTCAAATATTGTCAAACTTATGGAAATGTCAGACGTCTAATTAGATACTTCTAGCGTTCTATTTGTCTATGCGTGTGCCTTGAGATCATCATACTGGGGATGATTGTGTTTTATTATTATATAAATAATAATTATTTATTTTTTATTATTTATTTAATTCAGATTATTTAGTTATTAGTATTTATTTACCATGTAACTTCATGTTATTAAGAGTATGAGTATTCGAATGCTCGAAGAAGACAATCATGATGATTGCAAGTCTATTAGTTAAGTGCGTTTTTACCATAGACTAAGGAGGATACAAACTACGATACAATTAAACAATTTTTTTTTTTTTTTTTTTAAACAAATAAATTATTGACATTGACAAGTTGAATTGACAATTTTCCAAGAAGTTCTATTTAGGAAAAAAATTATGTCAGTGTCAAATAAATGAAAATATAACCTATTCTAAGGTTGAAGAAAGGAATTATAAATGGATTTTATCCGTAGATTTTTGAGTTACTGTATTTTTTTTACTTTCTTCTTGTGCGTACGATGTGATGAATTCAAGGAGGAGTTATTTTTCAAGCCCCTACCGTCGACGCATCTATACAGTTATTTTCAATTCGTTACTTTAGTGGACAGCGAAGTATCTTCATGTAATGATAAATAAATCTTGATAACATACATTTTATCTATCGGTCTTTGTTACATGAGTAATATCTAATCCATTGTGTATTTTTCAGTCCATTCCCAATTAGCTCCCCGGTCTTTGGCTGAAGTTGTTTCTCGTTTTCAAGTCGAAGAGTTACATTTAACATTAACGGAAGGACAATGGAGACATCATCAATGGGGATATCCAGTTTTGGACGCGGCACCTGGAGCCGAACTCTATGCTTGGTTTTCACCTGATGTTACCGATGTGGATACACAGTGGAAAAAGCTGAGTGCTACACTATCTGGGCTCTTTTGCGCTTCACTTAATTTTATTGACAGCTTTAACACAGTCACGCCTCAGATGGCTTTGTGGCCCATGGGAGCAGTGAAATCTAGTCAAAATGTTACCTCTCAGTTGAGATATGCCTCATTGCCCAGAGAGATTGTATGCACAGAAAATCTGACACCATGGAAAAAACTGTTACCATGTGAATCGAGTCGTGGGTTTTCTGCCCTGCTGAATTCTAGAATGATCCATAACACAAACTACCATTCAGTAGGAGTTCATGTGAGGAAAGTTTGTAAATCCAGTGACTGTTTGGAGACCCAGCTTGAATTTAAGCAAACAGTGGCTCTTATTTATGATTATGAGATAATCAAGAGTAATGATTGGTCATTTAGAAAATTATTTGGTCAGGGTCTACCTGGAGCTTGTCCACTGTCTACAGACAGCAAGATTTATGTTGATGTAACTTCTAACAGCACACAGCCATTTACTCTGTCTCCACCACCTGACAATATTATTTTGTCACAAAGAGGTAGAACTGACACCAAGTTGGCAGTGTACAATATACACCCTGATGGAAAAATGATAAACATAGGTGTGAAGCACAAGACCAAGTCACAGATACCAGTGTCTATACATCCCCCTTTGTTTTTCAACCGCTATGTCCTAGGTTATGGCAAAGAGTTTGGTGGAATTGTAACAGAGATAACAAACAATTGTTTGGCCCCTATCAATGTAGTTGTATTGGAGAATGCTCCATGGTGGTTGCCAATACAACTGAGTACTCTGAGAGTGAATGGTGAAGCTGAAAGTAAATTAGTCCAGTCTCAGTACTATTCTCCTGGCCGCAGCAGGCAGAAGCCATATCACCTAGAGTTACTTATCAAATTACCTCCAAAGTCCACCACTACCATCACTATTGACTTTGAATTTGTCTTTTTGAAGTGGCAGGAATATCCGCCTGATGCTAATCATGGATTCTATATTGGTTCAGCATTGATCTCGGCTAATTTACCAACAGCCAGAAATTACACGAGTCTGCCAATTACTGGAACAACATTTGATTCTGTTATAAATGATACCAAGTTATGTGAGTATTCACTTGTGTTATTTAACCCATAAATGCCCAAGCGGTCACAGGTGACCGCTTTCCACTAATATTACATTACATTATAGACCTTATTTCTAATATTTAGAGAATAATTTTGTATGACCAAATTTAGGGGATGGATATCAACGGGTTAAAAGAAAGTTAAGATTATAATAGTAGTTATGACTTATAATGTGTACAAGTCACATACAGTGTAAAATGTTTTTATATTATAGTTGCACTATTTATAAATTGAACATTGAATATGACAATTTGATTTGCATGTTCTTTGATGTTATGCCTACAAAGGCACAAGCCAATTGTCATAGATTCTTAAGTAATGCTAAGATCTAACCTGCTAGTAAGGATATACATAGAATGGATATTTATGTGATATTTTCTCTTTTCAGGGTATCCCATTGTGTTCAGGACAAATGGTGCTATGGTTTCTCTGCCAACCCCAGACTTCAGCATGCCATACAATGTCATCTGCCTTGCCTGCACTGTAGTGGCATTGGCATTTGGTCCACTACATAATATCTGCACCAAAGAGCTGGTACTCAAACCATCAGGAACATCTTTGTCTTTAACCCAAAAACTCTTGAATTTATTCAAGAAAAAGAAAGATTAGTTATTATTTATTTTTGTTTCACTGAAAGTATTTAATTTAATTTAAGTATTTGACTGAATAAATTAATACAGTTTACTCTGTGATTTTATTGGATAGATTGTCATATTCCAAGCACAGGTCTCTGGCCCCCAGGAATCGAATGCGATGTCCCTAATAGGGATGATGACAGGGTATGAAATTTAAAAATGTGATTAGTTCGTCAGTTGGCTAATGAAAAAATATTGGACACGTATTTTTGTATTTTGTTGTACAGTGAAACTTGGTTAAGTGGGACCTTGATAAGTGAGAAACCTCCATAACTGGAACTCATGCTAAGGTCCCAACACTTTGGCACTGAGTTACCTCTGTTAGTGGGACGAGGTAAACTCTATATCTGGGATTTGTTCTTTCGATTTATCATCATAGTTACCTCTATAACTGAGACAGTGAGTAAATTGTATATGCATAAACCTCTGTAACTGAGATAACATTGTGTTTTTACTCATTCTTATCCTACCCAGAAATTCCATACGTAATACAAAGTCCACCTCGATTAATGGAACCCTCTGTAAATGAGACAGATATTTATTTATACCTGTATATCTGAGACACTGGGTAAGTGGAATACCTCTATAAGTGAAACGGTATTGCAGGTCCCTTGGTGTCTCACTTAACCAGGTTTCACTGTATAATAAAATAATACTTAGATATAACGAATCAAAGTTTAGGAGTAGGGGCTTTTTTTAAGAGGGAAAATCATCGAATGACTGCTCCTCCTGGGTGAGGCGGGAGGGAGTGTCAGATTCTTACTGACTAAAAACCACTCCGTTCCTACTACTGGACTTCGAGCCAGAGCCCCGGTAACCCGTTAGGTTCTCCGCGACTCCGTATCAGCATCAGCCCTATTGGGCCCCATCCGTGGTGGTCTGATTCTGATGGCTCTTTGAGGCGCGCGCGGAACGCGACGCGCCGTACACTCGGGTAGGAGTGGGGGCTAAAACGTCATTTCAACGTATAAAATGAAACTATTCGTTTCCGTAAAAAAATTAAAGACATTAGACACGTATTGTCTAATGTTTTTAAATAATCTACCAGACGGACATTAAAATAAAAAATTAGTCATCTATCCTATTGCTTGGCAGACAGTAGTTACAGAATATTTTTTTATCGTGTGCATCTCTTGCGCCCGTACATCGTCCTTCCTCTCCTCCTAAAATTGAAATGAAGTCTGCAAATATCGGTCGACGATGATGACGTGATTTAAGTTCAGACTGTCAGGAAAAGGTAAGGCGCAATTACCTATAACAATAGCTAGGATACTCGTGGTTAGAAATATCTTTATAAAATATCGGCAGTCATGACCTATGCACATTTTCGTCGGTAAGATATAGGTACAACCCCTTCATACACTAGGTACCATTTTAGTGACCATCTAGATTTAAATGCAGTTGTGTATCGGTCTTATATTTTGTGTTTATTATTTAGGTACCTTAGATTACGATTTAATTACCTACAAAGATTTGGTCTGTCATTTAATTTTCTTGACGAATGACGAATAATAATAAGATGACAAAGACATTGAAAAAAAGGTAAGATGGTATGTACATAGTAGGTACTTACATATATAATTATGACATTTTCGTGCTTGCAAAGCAGTACCTACAGTAGGTAACGTACCTACGAATGTACTTAATATACTCTTTGGAATTGGAATGTACGACACGGGCGTCCCATAGTCTGCCTACTCCCATGGGAGACAGGCGTGAGGTTATGTATGTAATAGACCGTACTTCTTCCTCTACCTTTAGGTAGAGGTACTTATTATAATCATTGTTACTGACATCGCTGTAAAAAAAATTACTGTCAACTTGACAAGAGGAACCAGTTTTATTTATTGTATCGTTTTTATATTTTGTACCTAGTTAAGTTTATATTTTAATAACGTTAATATTAAACAGTTATGGGAGTAACCGTAACGTAAGTATGATGAGTCATTTTACAATTATTTTATTACCTATAAATAAATAATGCTAACCTACCCTCTTGCAGAAATCAGCAGTTGTGTCCATCGTGTGCATGTCATCGCGATTGCCAAGGGTTTCAAAAGTTAGCAGAACTCAAAGAAGCTGGTTTGGTGGTTTATTGTCACAATAAACGTACAAAAGATGTAAGTGATCATTTCGTTTCAAATTATCTATCTTACTTATCCTGTGCACAGTCGGTTGCCATAATATTAATCGTGTTTTTAATGTATAAAATGAAGCATATTTTATTTAGGCACGTTAGTTTAGATCAGCTTTAATTAAGAAGCGATGAGTGGAATGAGGGTAGGGAGGCCTTTGCCCTGCAGTGGGACGACCATGGTTGAAAATAAAATAAATAAAAATAATATAAATAGGTACTGAGTACTTGTAGGTGTACAGTGTGTTAATGATCAGAGTTACCCACAACCAGTTGTTAAAATTTATATCCATGATTTATATCGATAAAATTCTAAGAAATTTGTACCTACTTAAGTAATTTTCTTATATTTGCCAACAGGCTAGACCAGACAGCACGGCTGAACAAGCTGATACATCTCAGAACGTGTTTATTCTACACAACACGAAAGATGTGAAATTAAAATCTTCCGATTTAAAATCAGAACTCGGTAAATGTTATAATATGATAATATATTAAAACGATTTTTAGTGCATAAACCATGGGTAGGTACAACATATTTTTTAAGGACTTCTTTGTCTACTTGTGACCATCTTTCGCTAGATAATTATGATGAATATACCAAAGTCGAATATTGATTCCTGGCTGGCTGGCTGTGGGTATGCTTCCAGCGTTAGGGAAAAAGAGGATTTTTCTGATATGACCACTATTAGGTTAACTGAAATTAGAATTCAATTCGATCGCAAGAATGTATTTTATTATCTATTGTTTCCAGAAAGAAAAGATGTATGCTGCCCACGATGTAGGAAAGCCTACCAGCATGTTCAAAAACTCATACAAAAAGTGACGTCCATAGACAGGAAAAAAGTAATGGGCCTATGCGACCATTGTCGTAAAAAAGCTGAAAAAAAGAACAAAACATGTTCTACGTGTGAAGAGATTGTGAAGAAATTCATATCAGTTAAGGGTCAACAAAAAGAAGACACAAAACAGTTCATTAAAATATGGCTTTCAAAGATGGGGGTTTATTTTAAAGAGCCTATAAAATTTGACCAATCATTACTCGACGAAATAGCTCCAGGTTCTAAAGACACTGGTGAATCTCATGACGTAAACCTTGATCAGTTGGCTCGAAAATCGTCTATGCCGAAACGGGAGCCGGAAGTTCAAGAAATGTTTATTTCAGAAGCACATAAGTCAGATTCAGAATCAAATATAGATACCAATATACAAAAACGTCCTAAATTAGTACAATTAGTAGATAATAATCGACCTACGGTATCGAGCGACATCTCTTTACTTCATAAACCTCACGAAGGAAAAATAGAAGTACCACTTTCAAAACCTGTATTCATTCAGTCAGATGCGACTTTTGTGGAACCATATTCAAATGTCAATGCACAAATTAAAAGTTCGTTAAAAGAAAAAGAGGAACCTAAGTCCTTAGGACGTTGTGATGATACGTTAATAGATGCTAAAGAAGCAATTAAAAAGAGACATGATATCAGCTTGAGACAGATGACACAAACTGAAAAAGAACTGCCATCGAAAAGACCGCAAGTAAATGAAATTCCGAAAGTGGCACCATGGGAAAAAGATTATGATTCGAAATATTACGGCGAATCTGAAACAGATATAAAAATTAAAAAGGCTTATGTTATTCGCAGTCAAGAATCCTTATCAGTAAAAAGTGTTAAATATGAAGCACCAAGACCCTCACAAAAAGATTTACGAGATCGTCATGGCCTAGGTAAACATGGTGACCATAAAATAAAAAAGGGTATTCAGGATTTTGACTCAAGTACTCAAGCATTGACCGACGAAGACGTATTACAAACAATTAATGATAGGGTTAAATCAAAACATCGAGTACTTAAGCATAAAACCGGACATAAAAAATCACTTGGACCTAAAAGAACTGCAGAGAATATTACTAAAACACAATTTAGTTTCTTTTTCCCAAAAGTACCAGAGAAAGAAAAAAAACCAGAAATTGACATTCATTCATCACATCTAATTAAACTTACCCAAGAAAAGTTCCGTCTGCAAGCTGAAAAAGAGGACAAAAAAAGACGAATGAGAGAAGAAAGGAAAAAGCGTGCCCAAACTCAGAAAGAAACCCCGGCAATGACTGGTGGAAAAATGGCAAGACATGAATACGAGAGAGATCTTGATCGCTCAAAAGATGAAAAGTTTACGAAAGCTAAGGCTATGGAGGAGATGGAGACAAGAAAAATATCTGGGACTGTACAAACCAAAGATAAAAAAGTTGAAGAACTAGAAAAAATTAAAAGAGATGTAAAAGTAGAACTTGAACACAAATATGGAATTGATGAACAATCCGGAAAAACCAAACGGGACTCTGGTTTCAAACCGGAACAGGTAGGTAGGACTGATGAAATAAGTAAGAAAATAAAAAGAGATGGTCAATCAAAATTTGAAACCGATAAACTGAGTGAGAAAGCCAAGAAAGACATAAAATCAAAACCAGACAAAAAGTTGGCAATTGGTGAAGTTGATGAAAAATCCAAGAAAGACGTTAAGTTGAGACCTGAAGAGAGAGATGTATCCGGTAAAGGAAGTGAAAAAGCCAAGAGAGACATAAAATCAAAACCAGGTGAAAAGTTTGCAACTGGAGAAGTTGGTGAGAAAGCCATGAAAGATATAAAATCAAAAGCAGGTGAAAAGTTTGCAACTGGAGAAGTTGGTGAGAAAGCCATGAAAGATATAAAATCAAAAGCAGGCGAAAAGATTGCAACTGGAGAACTTGGTGAGAAAGCCTCGAAAGATATAAAATCAAAAGCAGGCGAAAAGATTGCAACTGGAGAACTTGGTGAGAAAGCCTCGAAAGATACAAAATCAAAACCAGGCGAAAAGATGGCAACTGGAGAAGTTGGTGAGAAAGCCACGAAAGATATAAAATCAAAAGCAGGCGAAAAGATTGCAACTGGAGAACTTGGTGAGAAAGCCACGAAAGATACAAAATCAAAACCAGGCGAAAAGTTTACAATTGGAGAAGTTGGTGAGAAAGCCACGAAAGAAGTTAAGTCAAAACCCGAAGAAAAAGATGTATCTGGTAAAGTAAGTGCGAAAGCTAAAAAAGATATAAAGGAACGTACGGATCAATTAGGTGGAATTGATGAAAAAGGTGAGAAAATCAAGAAGGATACCATAAAAGCAAAACCAGAACAAGGAAAACTCGACGAATCGTTAGGAAAAGTGGAAAAAGGATTAAAGTCAACCCCCGAAAAACCAGTCAAATTAGATGAAGCAACCCAAACTAAAAAAGACGTTTTAAAAATATCTGAAGCAAAGGGAGCAGGTGAAACTAGCAAAGAAAAAGGAGTAGAAACAATTAAAAAAGGAACGAAAATAGGTGAACAAAAAGAAAAAGATGAATTAAAAATAAAAAAGGATATCAGGCAAAAAGCAGGAGAAAAGGATAGTACTCTACAAGAAGCGGTTAAAAAGGACTTGAAACATATATCCGGTAAAAGGAGTAAAACAGATGTTGCAGACAAAGATGAAACTGAAATAAAATCAAAACAGGATCAAAAACTACAAACTGAAGAAGCCGATGTGCTTAAAAAAGACGGCACATCTAAATCAGACAAAGAACAAGCGAAAATTGATGCATTAACGCGAAAACAACTTGAGAAACAAGAACAGGAAGAAAAAATAAAAAGAGAAAAAGAAAAGAAAGAAGATCAAGAAAGGTTAAAATTAGTAGAACAGTTACATAAAGATAAAGCGTCAGCCAAAGTTCAAGCCGCAAAGGACGCAGCCAAGCAACAAACTACAATGGACGCGCAAGAACCAGGGAAAAAGAAAGGGAAAAAGGGAGCAACGTCTAAAAAATTGGAAGATGATACAAAAGGTTCTTTAAGTCACGTTGAGGTATTACAGAAATCACTTAAAGCTGACAAATCAATCGATGCACAAAAAACATTAACAAAGAAGGAACTTTTAAAAATTGCTCAAGAAGAACAACTAGAAGCAAAGAAAGCAAAAGCTGCTGCTGCAGATGCTGCTCAATTTAGAAAACTACAAGAACAGCTTGTAAAAGAAAAAGATAAAGAGAGATTAAAAAGATTAGATGTAAATGCTATCTTCGGACTTGGGAGATCTGAAGGAAAACGAAAAATAAGTAAAACTATAAAAAAGCGAGTGCTAAAACCGTTCAACGTTTGGAAATCAGTTCGTATAAAACCAGGTATGACTCCATCACAGAGAAGGCTGCCTAAGAATCTCGACCCTCTATTGATGAAGGCACACAGACGTCATCAAATAACCGGCCAAATGTGTCCATCATGTATACTTTGTTGTGATTCTGAATTGGAAATCGAGTTTGAAAGCTATTTAAATGAACTGAAAAGAAGGGAAAAGCACATTATTATTGGCGAAAGAATCTACAAAAATAAACAAATCGTTGAAAAAGAACATAAAGAACCAAAAAATGTTCCAATGCTTTTTCAAGCAGGATTTAATGATGAAAATATCCAAGCAATAACTGACAAAGTTGCCCCAGAAGATAAACTAGACCCAGAATCAGCAAAACGGAGGATTACTCCGACATCATCAAAAAGAAGTATTAAATCGGTAAGTTTTCATATCAATTATGTGACTTCGTAATTACGTACACACGGGTACACATCGAGCTTTACATAACCAGTATAAACTGAACGTTAAATGTATAGATTGATGTGTGGCCGTGTGTACGTTTGTGTGTAAATATGGCTTAGTCTACAGAAGACAAAATATTACACAAAGAAATATTAGGTATCTACTTTAATTTGAAGAAGTATGATACGGTCACTAATGCCCGGGATACACGAGGCTAGTTTTTCAAGCTAGGGTAGCAAGCTAGTTCTTTTTTAAAACTGTGTCGGCTAGCTGACCTGGCTTGGAATATGTTAGTTCTGTTTACATGAGGCTATATTATTTTAAGCTAGTATTATTGCTGTGACCAAGGTGACCAAGGTGGTGTGACTCTTAAATTTTTAATTTTACTTTTGACCTCTTTGGTAGTCATAATAATACCAATTGTCTTTAATTCGACACAATTTTTTTGTAGCGCTGAATCACGTTTACACTTGTCTTTATAACTTGGAAGGGTGGAGTTCCACAGACATTCATGGTCACGGTACAGTTGTACGAACTTTAAATTAATCTCCGTACTTAGTTTGGGCATCTTAAATCTCAAAAACACGTCGCGGAGAAAAACAAACGCGTGGTTACTGCTTACGAGTCAACTGAAAACTAGCTTCGCCGGCCACATGAAGCTAGTACACAAGCCAGGATAGTAAAATCAGTGGTGGGGGGCGCTACTTACCTAAAAATAGAACTCCATCCTATTAAAAACTGTCCTGGCTTGTCAACTAGCTTACTAGTTTACTAGCTTAGCAATGAAGCTAGTTTTGTCTACACGAAGCCAGAAGTACTAGCTTGCTAGCTTACTGACACTAGCTTGCTATCCTAGCTAGAAAAACTAGCCTCGTGTATCCCGGGCATAAGCGAGTCTGAATAGAAGGTAAAGATAAAGGTACAGTTTGGGTAAAAGTTCCTTGGTCCGTTCACAGTTTAACTCTGACAGTTGTCATTACACCTTTTCTGTACGTTTGTGCACCAGCCACCAAGGAATGGGCTGCATTCCATAAATGCATCAGTGACCTAACTGCAATCCCCAAACCGCCTGCCAAGCGTGGGGATTATGGCAACCGTAGATATTTTATCAAACATCTGCAGAACATCCGTCATAGACTTCTAACCTATTAATGAGTGGGTATTAACCTATCAATACAAATAATAGTTATTTTTGCTTTTTAGTTTCGACTTTTTGTTTGTTATTAGTTTTTTGTTTTTTGAAGTCGGTTTTTACACGCATTTTTTATTTTATTATTTTATCATTTTCAATGTAAAGCTAAATAGATCCATCCGTTTTATCACTTTTAATCTACTTAGGTGCAAAGTTCTAATTAATACAAATTATACAAGCCCAAACACAAGGTAGTTACTATAGTAACCGTTGAAGAGTTCTATCCATCATCAGGTCGACTCCAGACCCTTATCAAATTGTAGTGTTTAAAAATCCTAAATGAAAAACTTAATAGACGCATTACTCGCCTCTACAATTTTCGAAAGTTCCCCTCGATTTCCCCAGGATTCCATCATCAGATCCTGACCTCATGGAAATAGGACCATCTTGGGTGTATGCCCTTTCAAACAAAATAAGAATTTTGGAAATCGGTTCACAAATGGCGGAGGAATCGGCGTAATCGGCGAACAAACAAAAATAAAAACAACAATTAGCCGGACATAGTACCTCCTCATTTTTTTGAAGTCTGTAAAAAGAGTTAAAGTATTTGTATAGAAACGCCACCATGCGCATCCGACTCCAGGAAGAGAGCACGGACTCAATCAAATTGCAGAAAGGTGTAAGACAGAGAGACGTGGGAAACTATTCGTTTCGAAGAAATCCCTCGTACTCGTCTAATAAGACGCACATTCACTTCAAGAGTGACCGCCACAGCCGTAAGGAAGCGTGTGCGAGCTTGTATTCATGATAGGGAAGGTCACTTAGAACAGTAAGAACAAAATTTCTAGGACAGCTAATAAATAGTTTGTACGCTTACAGTAATATCAATTTTTTAAGCTAAATGCAGTTTTATTTTGGCGAAATTAGTGACTCAAAACAAAATTTGAACTAATTGACTAGGTATTTTAAACGAACCATATTTCTGTCAGTATTAGTACTTATTATTAAAAGTTTGTTGATTTATATTGACAACAACTACCACTAGTGACTCAAACTAGTAGTTTTTTAGTTATTGACGTTTTTGTAGTTCGATCGGAATTTTTTCACCAAAACCGAAAATGTTGAATATCTCAGAAAGTAGCCACTTTCGGACCAGAGACCTCAGGGCTAATTTTGTAGAAAATTAGGTGTATTATTACCTCCCGAGGGGAATACGTCGAGTTACAAGTCACCCTGTATACTACATAAGTAATAGGTTGCGGTGGGTAGGTAGGCTTTATCTTATTATTGCCTTTAGCGTCAATACTGATTAGAACCTACTTCCATACAGGCCGTTTCTAAGTAGGAATTCTAATATTGTGTTTCAAAATCTGACAGGAACCTAGCACTTATAAAAATGATTTTTATTTAATGGTATATTGAAGTTTTTACAAGTGTATTTGTATACGTATATTTTATAATCATTTAAATATTACTTAGATATTTAATTATTTTTGAAGTAAAAGAGTATTTTGTATTTTTGATAATGTCTAAAAAACCGGAACATGTAAGTACGTGAACAACATACACACGATAGACATAGGCCTTTGATGGTTTAAACATAATTAAGTTATTACTTTTTTTTTCTAAATACAACTTGAAAGGAATAAAATAGGTACGATTTAAGTGAAACTAGAAAAAAATGCTATGTTTATAATTGTACATACCTTCCTAATGGATAGAAAAGTGTCAAAAAATGCCTAAAAAAATGTTGCTGTTTTCCCTCGACATACACTACGGTAACCTTATGAGACTTGTCTCCTTTTGTTCCTAACTGGCTTCTGCCCTCATTCCTGTAGCATGAAAAGTGTTCCCTGTGTGTTATTCCATACCATAATCTAATCTATTTTAAACCGATCCCGTCAATCGTTTTTACGTGGTTGAGTAACGAACACACACAAAGACACTTATACAGCGTGCGACGGGCGACCTGCTACATGCACCGCTGATCTATGGGATTACATGAAACAGCACGCCACGTACCTATTACTGGGCACTTACTCTTGAAACCAATCTCAATGTCAACGCAATTTCAATCCAATATAATCTCAATGATTATTCAATGTTACAACTGTACAACCATAACTATATATTATGTACGTTAGGTTCTTCGCGACTCCGAATCGGCATCTGATGGCTCTTTAAGGCGCGTGCGGAACGCGACGCGCCATACGCTCGGGTCCTTCTTTAATATATCTGTGCTAGGGTCTATTTCTGGTCGGACGGGGACCCACCCATGCTCGCCGTCCGCAGACCCGTACTTACGGTGGCCGGAGATCGTTCCGCCATCCCTGCAGTCCCATGATACATAGTGATAGAGTACACATTTTTGGTGATTGATTAGCAAAAATACTTCGGACAACATAATATGCTAGTACGCCTTGTAGCCCCATGTGGGCAAAATTGGGTTTATTGACCCATCTTAATAAATAAACCAATTTTTGAATATCTAAATCTGAACGAGGGGCATTGCATAAGTTGGTACCATCTAAATAATTATGGATTTCCATGAGAACATCGTCTCAATATAATATAATGACATTAAGTCCAAATTTTTATTTTTTTCAGTTTGACACAGACCCTGGCAGAGGCATTATAAGGTATGCCTTATCAGATCGCACCTTCATTGATAAGGGTTGGACCATGCTGCCTACAGAGAAAGTTGTACGGAAGGTAAATTCAGGAGCTCTAACGTATCTAGTCTAGTAATACTGGGTAATCTAGGTACCTAATTGATATTTAACCAAATATTTTATTTCTAGATGAATGTTTACCGTATGCGTCCAGCACATCCTGAATTTGATTGGTTTGAACACAATAAAAATAAGCGGTTAATGACATACGACTCGGGCGAAAGGCTAGCAGAGTTTGATGATAATGGACGTGGTCGCTGGTACTACAGGAATGGACGACTAGCTCTAGATTATTACGATGCACAAGGTAAAATACGACGTGAATATGACGATACCTAATTATGTAGATACCTACTTGAGGGCACGAATGCACGATTGACGTTGGCGAGTACTGTACAGAGCTGTACTGCGCAGCGCAACTTGTTTTGTTACCGGTAGTTGACAAAGTATCTGTGAAATTACAGCGTAGGTAAGTTTTTGTTTATAATCGTGTGAATATTGTGTCTAAATATTTTGCATCTGTTTCAGAAACCAATGCTCAACAACGTTTCGTTATATACAGCAGCGGTGAACCCGATGAGCGTGGTCGCAGTCATCCTATTACAATACTAGCCACTTTTGATTATCTCGGAAATGGTGTAGTTTTCGATCACGCGGGCAAGATACGGTAAATTTGGAATAAATAATACTTGTCTGGAATTATTTATA